ATTATTTCTTCAAAGAGGTTTTCAATATCTTGCTCTCTTCTTCTGGCACCCCTATAATTCGGATGTTGGCATGCTTGAAGCTGTCCCAGAGGCTCCTTACACTATCTTCTTATTTTCGGATTCTTTTTTCATTTTGCTTTTCCGGTTGGGTGTTTTTTTGCTTCTTCGTATTTCAAATCTTTGACTTGATTCTTGCGATCCTCTGGTCTGCTGTTGGGAGTCTGTATAATATTCTTTATTTCAGTCAGTGTATGCTTAATTTCTAGTTGGTCCTTTATCACAACATCGAGGGTCTCATTAGATTTCTTGAGGATCTCACTACATTTATCGGCGGTCTCACCAGTCTTCTTGAGGGCCTTATTAAATTTATCAGTGGCTTCTAGACAGTTCTTTAAAGACCTTAAAAGTGTGGTTTTTGAACTCTATATCCAGCAGTTTGCTTTCCTCCCATTCTGTCGTTTGTGTCCTGTTTGTCTCGGCATTTTTTATGCTTCGATGTGTCAATAGAGTGCCTTTCTGTGCTATGTGTCCCAATTACCTGAGGTAGACACTCTTGGTGCACCCCCTTGTGGGCTTTGTGCACAGTCTTGTTGTAATTAAGCCTTGATTGTTGTAGTTATCACTGTGAGGAATTGACCTCCAGGCCAATTGGCTGTGAGAATCAGCTGTGTCTGCAGTGGGAGAACTTGTGTGCTGGAGACATCCCTCTGGGGCTAGACTTGATTCGATGGGGCTTTGGTGCTCACTGAGTCTGCCCCGAGTGTGTCTTTTATGGTTCCACGGAGCTGCAAACTGGTGGTCCCACTCTGACCTCTGGGCTTCCTGGCTCCTGGATCTCTAGGGAGGTGCTAATCTAGCCTTTGCCTGAGGCTATCCAGCAAGTCTCCCTGCAGGGCTTTGGCGGGGCGGGTCCCACAGGATCAACAGGGCAGGGTTAGCAATTATGGCTGCTCTCAGTCTTGCCCCCAGAGGCTCTGCTTCTCAGTGTCCCAGTAATCGCTGCAAGCCCCATGGAGAGAAAGCTGCCCTAGGGTTCTGAGCGATGCCAGACAGTCCTGCTTCTCCCATATGCATCTGGGTCCCTAGAGACTAGCCCGGAACTGGAGCTCAGAGCCTGAGACTCCCTCCCGATTGAAAACAACAATCACGCCCTCAGCCGCCAGCCCGCTCCGCATGCACTCCGCACCTTAGTATTTTACTTCTGCACTGCGCCTCCTTTGAGTCTTGGTATGCGTTTCTCTCTCCTCCTAGTTGTAGAACTTCCACTCAGCCAGCCTTCCTGTGGTCCTGGATGATGTCTGTTCCATCTTTTAGTTGTATTTTTGAAGTGGTTGTTCAAGCCAGCAAACTTGGGTGTTTACCTATGCTGCCATCTTGGTTTCTCCGCATCTTTGTCTTTTATTAGTGTAGATAACTAGAGGCCTGGTGCATGAAATTCGTGCATGTGGGGGAGGGTGTCCCTCAACCTGGCCTCTGCCCTCTCGCAATCCAGGATCCCTCAGGTAGGGTCCCTAAGCCTGGCTGGCAATCAGGGCCTATCCGGGGTTTCCTTCCCCTGGCCACCCTGTCCCCACCGCTGCCACTGCTTGCCATCTGTGAGGCACTGCCCTGCCACCAGTCACCTCCCTCTATGGGTGACAGGTGTGGGGTGCCATCGCTTGGCTGGCCTGGGCCTCTCTATGCAAGGCGATAGCTGGTCGGCCCCACCCACCTGCTGCAGCACCGCCAGTATGGTAGCCTGGGCCTCCCTCTTTGAGGTGACCGATCATGGGGCTTCGCGATTGATCGCCACACAGGAGGCCCCACGCACCCACTACGCATTAGTCCAGGATGAAATACATTAGTGTTTCCTTGTAACCATCGATCCAAGAAGTTTGGCGAAATGTTTGAACATCTTATCAAGTGTTTATTGATAACAGTGCAATTGATCATTTATACCCATTCTCATTAAGACCTTCAGAGTCTGCTTACCTAAAAATTCCCCTACATATCTAGCACAATAGAGCCTTGGCAGTAAATCAATTTTTGGCTTATAGGGTATTCTTTGCACATGTTTGTTCTTAGTAGATAATAAAATTATGTCTATACAATGGATAAAATTGGGAGCTTGTGCCTAACTTTTATCTAAACCCCTTGCTTTGAAGCAACCTTTGGCTATGAAGCAATGCATCCTTTTTCCTTCATACATTAACATTTGTAAGTATTGCCATTTTGGGCCTGAGTCTTTTTTAGCAATTTAACTCTAGTTAACTGTTACTGTTAGTGCACCACATTCCTTGGAATGTGGCAGTTCTACAGTTTTAGGCCTTGTGGCCACTTCTCAATGTATAACCTTTTTCTCTCTCTTGAGTTATCTACCCATAAGGCATGTATAATCTAGTTCTTTTTTCATGTTGTTTATTCAGTAGTCTCTCATGTTCCTTATTTTCTGTGCTTTCTCAGTGTGCTTGTTGGTTTCTCCTTCTCTTGGATTCACAGTGCACTCTGGCCACCAATAATCTTCTCTGGTTTCCTGAGCAAACAATTAAGTTTTATTCCTGTTTATCACAATAGGCACAATCATGTTCTACCTGTGCTGTTGATATACACTTGTCTGATGATATGCACTGTTTTTGTGCAATAACATATGCCTGTGTTCTTGCTTCACTAGTAATTCTTGGTCTCTATAGTCCTTCCCTGGTTTAACTATTAAGTTATTATCTGGGAGTGACCATTTGCTCCTAATCTTTTATGTATCTATCTCATTATGTCATCTGCCTATTGTCAATAGGCCCAAACTTAACTTTCTAATGATAACACACCCACCCGTTTTGTTTTTATTTACTCCTCACCCTATAATATTTTTCCCACTGATTTTTAAAGAGTGGGATGGAAGGAGGAGGAGGGAAGAGAGAGAGCGAAACATTGATGTGAAAGAGACCTATCGATAAGTTGCCTCCTGCATGCCCGGGCTGGGGATAGAGCTTACAGCCAAAGTACGTGTCATTGACTGGGAATCAAACCAGCAACCCTACAGTCCACAGGCCAGCACTCTAACCACTAAGCAAACAGGCTAGAGCAACACCACTCTTTTTTTAAGTTGTGTTAGTACCATACAATTTATCAATGCTTTAAAAAGAAAAAATCCTATGTAGGCATTTGGCTGTGATACCCCATCTTACTCTCAAGCCTGACTTATTTCTCCTATCATCTTGAATTTCTTAGTTATCATGGATTGTCATTCTTTGTATCTACTGTTATTATCTGGGTTAATATAATAACCTCTGGGTTGATTGGCTCAGAAAATGCAAACTTTCTTTCAGTCCTTTCATTATTCAAAGTCCAAACTCCAAAGATAAAGATGATGTATAGAAGAGCTCAGCCGATATGGTTTAGTGGTTGAGCCAGGAGGTTGCGATTTTGATTTCTGGTCAGGGCACATGCCCAGGTGTGGGCTCAATCCCCAGTGTTGTGTGTACAGGAGGCAGCTGATCAATGGTTCTCTCTCTTCATTGATGTTTTTATCTCTCCCTCTCCATTCCTCTCTGAAATCAATAAAGATATATCTATATCTATATCTAATCTATATCTATCTATCTATCTATCTATCTCTATATATATATTATTTTAAAAGATGTATAGAAGAGCTGAGCACCACTTCCATCATGAGATGTGAAGATAAATAAAATCCTGAAGTTAAATCCTGAGGAACAAAGAAAAGGGCAATGATTCATTCATGTTCCAATAAACACTAAAACCAAAAAGTTGGATTGTGAACTAGATCAGCTTAAGACTATTTTTAAACTCCGGGTGTTCTAGTTTTTAACTTATATATATTGTTTCCAACATTAAAATAAATATATAAAAAGGATTTTGATCTTTTATGTACAACTTGATAAACTATTAGTTTATTAAAGAAATTTTTATCAAGTAGCAAGCATGGTGCTATACTTTTAAGTTGAGGGATACTACCTCAACCAGGTGATCAAGGTTAGCATTGTTAATGATCATTCACGTTGACAGCATATGCTATTAATGAGAATGGCTTTCTTTTTTTAAACTCTGTGATCTTCCTTCAAAAGTATAAAATGGTAACACCAGTGCAAACATAAAAATATACCAGAAGCCCAAATTGAGAGTCTACAAAATACTTAAGTACTCCTCAAAACTGTCAAGTTAATAAAAAACATGGAAGGTATGAGAAATGGTCACAGACCAGTGGAAGCTAAGGAGACATGAAAATTAAGTGTAATGTGGTATCCTGAATGAAATTTCAGAATACAGCACTAGAGAAAAAAACTAGTGAAATCTGAAAAATAATGTGTTTAGTTAATAATGTATCAATATTTCTTAGCTATGACAAATGTACTACAGCAGGAGTGGGCAACCTTTTTGTGAGTGCGTGCCAAAGCCAGCAAAATCTCTGACTCAAAATTCTTCTGCGTGCCAACACTAATTTTTTGAGAACATGTTACGCCAGGTTGATATCTCTTAAGGTATACGTATGTGAAGAACCTTGAAGAAATAAAAAAATTCATTCGAGCGACAAAAACACAGTATATGATGATGAAAAATACATTTATTTTTTAATGTATACATGTACACTGATAGTCCGACAGAAAACTTTATGACTCCTTTTGATATTATCAGTGGGACTTTTGCTGCTGCATCACTGATGACAGAGATTTTACATCAGGTTTATATTTCGTGACCTTCAGATATAGGCACGAGCTACTAATTTCATCCGTCAGGCTACTCCTATTATGAGACTTAACCAAATTCATCACTGAGAACAAAGATTCACAAGCGTATGTGAATGAAAACATGGAGAGTAACGCTGTTGCGAAGTTTTTTAAACAGAAAAAATTTTCTGAAATGGCATTCCAAGTCCTCAATAGTTGTTTTCGACACTAATAAAATTGCTCTTCCCCTCTCTCGTCAATCCATGTCTATGGTCTTTAAGATAACTTGTTATGTAAAATTATTTATCTAAGATGCACCTCCACTGAATTTATCTGAAAAATAAAAAAGTCGATATTAAGAAAAAAATTGTAAAGGGAAGATTATAAGAGAGGGTTTCGCGTGCCAGCAAAAGTTACTGGCATGCCATGTTTGGCACGCGTGCCAGGGGTTGCGCAACCCCTGTACTAAAGTAATAAAAGATGTTAATAAAGAGACTGTGTGAGGAATATATAGGAATTATTTTAACTTTTTTTAAATTTACAACTATTGCAGAATGAAGTTAATTTTCTAAAAATTTAAAGTACTTTAGTTTTCTAGAAATCAATAGTTTTCTGAAAAATCAAGCATGTAGAGATACCTTTGATTCATTTCCCTTTTGGACCGTGCAACAAACTCACATTGTATTGAAGTGGCAGAGACTGTGGAAGGCCAAACATATTCTCTTAGTTGCTGGAACTCTGCTGCCACCAGGAGTGCTAACCCAATCTCTGGTGTGCTAGCTCGGGTGGTACTATCAGCTTCATCTCCTGGCCTTTTTCTATGGCAGTGATGCCAACAAGTAAAGCGATGATAAGCCAGTCAAAGAAATACCTGTTTTCCAATTAATGGTAAAGAACAAACAAACAAAAACACATAGTGTTCCCTCACGTAATATTAATAGAAGATAGGGAATAGAAAATTTACTCAGGGAATCAACTGACTTTGTCCACAAAATCTACCAGATCATACTTGCAGAAAGCAACATGCCCAGTGTTGAGAGAAATTCTTAGTGGTTCAAAACTGAGAAATTCATTTACTTTCTTCTCTGTGCTGACCAAACCATGTAGCCTGAAATTAGGACAGATTGAACAAATATTTTCTTAGCTAAGACTATACTATATTGTCCCCCCCGCCCCCCCCAAAAAAAGCGAGTTCTTTTCAGTACTAATGCAGTGCTTCTGACGTGAAAGTAGCCCTGATTTCATTCTAATTCTACAACCTCCTATCCAAGCAGGGCAGAAATCAACTAGTTTGCAATGCTGCAGTATAAGCAAGCATCATGGGACTGGGAAAAGATCCTATACCAGATACTCAGGCTACATGCATACAAGAGAGCTAAGACTTGCTTAATAATTACTCAGGGCAAAATGAACCACTAAAATGGCATAAAATGAAGGCCAAAAGTCTATGTAAGAATCAACATCCACCACACACGCAAAGAATCCTTGAGAAATCTTATGGTCCTAAAAAACAGGGCCAGACCAATGGTCAGATGTCCCAGGCAGGCCATCATCGAACAGCATCAAGCTGAGGGGAGCCAAAGAAGAAGCACATAGTTTGTCACTCAGGAAAGTTAACCAGTCCAGACCAGGTTTGGCTACTGCCTTCTATTGTTACACAGACTAACAGATGTACACATAACTCAGAGACCAGTCACAAACATTTATTACTGTTGTCCACAGAATTCAAGCTATTCTTCCATCTTTAAAATGTCCACAGTGAGTTTGTGCACAAATATTTTCTATAAAACTTAATATAATAAAGCAAGTTTTAGTACATCAGTTCTAGGTGATGATTTTACTCATTTCTGAAACTGACACATTTTCTTAGAAAAAAATTATCTGTTGAAAACTCAATGTGTTAGAAATGTCACAACAAAATACAAGGTTTTAGTCTAATCTTAATTGTTTGATGTTTAATAAAGTTCACCTGGAAGTAAAGGCCTTTTCCCTGAGATTTCTCTCATTTTTAATGAGGTTGTCTGATCATTCAGGATCACTGACAGAAGTTGCCTTCCTCATGTGAGTTCTATAATATACAATGACAGGTTGAATTATGCTAGATCTTCTGACATTTATTTTATTTACAGAGTTTGTGAACCCTCAAAGGAAAAAAAGACACATATTAAGAAGGGCTTCTGGTGACTACCTTGGCTCAAACAAACAAACAAAAAAAGCAGAGCCAGCAGCCATTTCTGCACAGGGGACTTTCATGCAAACTGCTCAGCACTAAACTGCCATGGCTGAGCCAGCCCTTCTAAGGGTTTCCTGGAATCCTATTTCTACCAATTGGATTGAGGCTTTCTCCATTCAATCAGAGCAGCTCTATTCTGACCAATCAGGACCAGTGCCTTTGGACCAAACTGTGAGGATTTGGATGCCTCATGTGCATGAGGACAGACCAATCAGGGACCAGGGCAGGGACTTCTGTCCATTGAAGCCAGCTTCCCTCTGGATTGAGGAGCGAACTTTCCACTGGAGACCATTTTTCCCCAGCTACAGTTGAAACATGGGAGATGCCTCGCTGGAGCAGACCAGAGCTGCCTGGCCAAAGAGAGTCCTGGCCCAAGGGTGACCTAGCCCCTGCTGTTTTCACAGCTGCACTGCATCACAACTGAGCTATTCCTCAGCTGTGCTATTTTCACAGCCATGCTATAGCACTGAGTCAAGTTTCCTTCACTGCACCCCAAATCAGGGATTCCTGTTGGTTCGGAATTGGCACCAACGACCGAGGGTTAACAGGTTTAACTTCATTCTAACAGAGTTGGCTAAATTATATGCATTTAACGAATACACCAAATCTTTAAGAGCTCAACACAGTACAAAAGTAATTCCTGTTTTTTTAAAAAAACTAACAGGGGAAGATTTGTTAGTGGAAAATTGTTTCATCACTACCTTGTACTCTATACTCAATATACACCACACAAGTCTGCCTTGCAAATTTCTCCATTCCAGTATGAATAACATAGAACAGGAAGAATGCCATTTTTTAAAGGCTAAACTTAGCTGATATGTAATAGCATAATAATCCATAACCAGCCCCACCTAGATGAAAGGCAGATTGGGAAATTTAGACATGCTTGTGCCTATTAGAAGAGGAAATAGTTAAAGGAAACAATTTGCAGTCTGTGTGGCATGACCTTCTCCACTGTGTGTTTTAATAGCCATTTTCTTCAGAACTGCCCAAATTTATTACATGGAAGGTTTTTCTCTGTGGTGTGCCTTCTGTTATAATGTGCTCGAAGACCTGCCTTATGAGCGAAAGTTTTCCCACATTCATTACATTCATGTGGTTTCTCCCCTGTGTGAATTCTCTGGTGCTCACTGAGAGTTGAACTGTGGGCAAAAGCTGTCCCACATTCATTACACTCATAGGGTTTCTCCCCTGTGTGAATTCTCTGATGTGCCCTCAGACCAGAACTACGGGCAAAAAACTTCCCACATTCATTACATTCATATGGTTTCTCACCTGTGTGAATTCTCCGATGGGTCCTGAGGTTTGTCTTACGGGAAAAAGTTTTCCCACATGCATTACATTCATAGGGTTTCTCCCCTGTGTGAATTCTCTGATGTGCACTGAGGTGTATCTTCCTGGAAAAAGTTTTCCCACATGCATTACATTCATAGGGTTTCTCCCCTGTGTGAATTCTCTGATGTGCACTGAGGTGTATCTTCCTGGAAAAAGTTTTCCCACATGCATTGCATTCATAGGGTTTCTCCCCTGTGTGAATTCTCTGATGTGCACTGAGGTGTGATGTCTTGGAGAAAGTTTTCCCACATGCATTACATTCATATGGCTTCTCCCCAGTGTGAATTCTTTGATGTACTTGGAGGGCTGAATTATGAGTGAAACTTTTCCCACATGCATTGCATTCATAGGGTTTCTCCCCTGTGTGAATTCTCTGATGTGCACTGAGATGTGATGTCTTGAAGAAAGTTTTCCCACATGCATTACATTCATATGGCTTCTCCCCAGTGTGCATTCTTTGATGTACTCGGAGGGCTGAATTATAAGTGAAAGTTTTTCCACATTCACTACATTCATACAGTTTCTCACCTGTGTGAATTCTCTGATGAGTACCGAGGTATGTCCTCTGGGGAAAAGTTTTCCCACATGCATTACATTCATAGGGTTTCTCCCCTGTATGAATTCTCTGATGTGCACTGAGGTGTGTCTTGTTAGAGAAAGTTTTCCCACATGCAATACATTCATGGGGCTTTTTGCCTGTGTGGATTCTCTTATGTGCTCTGAGATGTGATGTCATAGAGAAAGTTTTCCCACATTCAATACATCCATTTGGTTTCTCCTCTGTGTGAATTCTCTGATGTTCTTTGAGCTGTGCCATCCTGGAGAATGATTTCCCATATTCATTACTTTGATAGAGTTCAACCTCTGTGTGAGTTCTCTGATGTACTAAGCGGGCACACTTCTTGTAACATTCCCCACATTCATTGTTATAAGGTTTCTCTTTTGTGTGAACTGTCAGATGTTCACTGAGGTTTGACATCTGACAGGAAGTTTTCTCACATTCATTATATTCATAGAGACAGGCCCCCATATGAGTTCCAGGATAATGACTAGTGTGTGAATTTGAACAGAAGAATTTCCCACACTCCTCATATTCACAAGTCTTCTCCTCTGAGTGGGTCCTCTGTTGCTGAATGAGGTGTGCTTTCTGGTAAAAGAACTTCCTGCATTCATTACTTTCAAATGCCTTCTCTCCTATGTCATTTTCCTGATGTACACTGAAAAGTGAGTTTTGATGCAAGGATTCCCCATGTTTACCACATTGGTAGAATTTCTCTTCTGTCTGAGTTCTCTGATGTATTGTAAGGTCTAAGTCCTGGTAGGAGGCACTTGTACATCCATTAAAAACACAGACCTTATCTCCAGTTTGTGTCTTCTGATGTACCAGATGGGCTGAGCTTTGGGTCAAGTTTTCTTCACATTTACTGCTTTCAAAAGCACCATGTCTTGTAACAGTTCTCTGAGGTTGAATGAGGAATAAATTCCTGTTGAAATTATTTCCACTTTCATTACATTCATAGTGTGTCACAGTCATCTGAACTTCATCGTATTCCTCAATAGTGGCTTTGTCACAGGATCTCCCACAATCATTAAGATCAAAGCATTTCTCCCTTGAACCAGTTCGCCTGTGGTTAAACAGAGTTGCGTTATCACAGCTTTTCCAAAATACATCATCCTTACATGATTCCTTTCCTGTTAGGGAACTCTTAACTATAACACAGACAACAGTGTTATCATGTAAAACTTTTCCAAATTCATTACATTCAAAAGGTTGCTCCAGAGTTGGAAATTTCAGATGATCTTTCTTATGGCTGAGAGCGTTCATATTTTTATACTCGTAAGACCTCTCTTCAGGATGAGCTTTCTCATGTTTGATATCAAGCTGCGACTTTTCACATACACTTATGTAATCAACCTGCTTTCTTGAATAGTTCCTATCATTAATAATTAAGTCAGAAACAAGTGGCAACTTCATTCTACGTGAGTCACATTCACAGGACATTTTTCCTGAATAATCTGCAGTTAATCTGGATTAATTGGTTTTCCTAAAACTATCTGCCTTTCTTTACTCCGTGGTTTATTATCAATGAATATTACTTGCCAAAGAGGTTTCTTTTGTTTTTCCTGGTTCTCCTCAATGTGGACATCAACTTTGTAATATCCTAAAATTAGAAACATTGAAAACATCTTATGAATCTTACATTTCTTATTATGAGGACCTTATAATCATGTTTTGTTATGCTTTGTATTGTTTCTAGTCATGTTTTCAAAGATTAATAATTCATACAAACAGACAGAAACACAACACACACTCTTTCTCTCTGCTCATCCAAGTTGTTTAAAAAAACAGAATTACTCCCAGTGCTAGCCAAAAGGGAGCAGCCCCATTCTTCCAGGTCCTCCCTCTTGCAATTCAAAAATCCCTAGGGGAAAAACCTCTCAGCAAAGTGGGAATAGAGGGATCATGCCTCAACATTATAAAAGCCATATGTGACAAAACTACAGCCAACATCATACTCAATGGGCTAAACTAAAACCATTTCCCCTAAGAATAGGAATGAGACAGGGATGTCTGCTTTCACCACTCTTGTTCAACATAGTACTAACAGTCCTAACCATAGCAATCCGACAAGAAGAACAAACAAAAAGCACCCAAGTTGAAAAAGAGAAAGTAAAACTGTTATTATTCGCAGATGATATGATATTGTACATAGAAAACCCGAAAGACTCCATCAAAAAACAATTCTCGGGGGGAGGGAAGAGTGAGGGGTGTAGGAAGAGACTGGACAAAAATCTTACACCTTTGGATGAGGACAGTGGCGGGGGGTAAGGGCATGGGGTGGGGTGGAAACCGGGTGAAGCGGAGCTATGGGGGGGAAAAAGAGGATCATTTGTAATAATCTGAACAATAAAGATTTATTTAAAAAAACTACTAGATTTAATAAACGAATTTGAAAGTGTAGCAGGAAACAAAATTAATACCCAAATATCGATGGCATTTTTATACACCAACAATAAAATCTCAGAAAGAGAAATAAAAAACAATCCCAGCTACCATTGCAACAAAAAAAATTAAGATACTTAGAAATAAACTTAACCAAGGAGGTAAAAGACCTGTACTTGGAAAACTACAGGATGCTGAAAAAGAGTTAGAGGAAGCTATATACACAAGCAGAAGAATATACTGTGTTCATGGATTGGTAGGATCAACATTCTTTAAAATGTCCATACTGCCCAAAGCACTCTATCAATTCAATGCAATCCCTATTAAAATACCAACAGCATAGTTCACAGATCTAGAACAAACACTCCAAAAATTTATAGGGAACCAAAAAAGACCCCAAATAGCCGCAATGAGAAAGAACAAAGTTGAAGGAATCACAATACCAGGTATCAAGTTATACTACAAAGCCACTCTACTCAAAATAGTCTAGGACTGGCACAAGAACAGGCACATAGGTCAATGGGATGGAACAGAGAACCCAGAAATTGACCCAAGCCATTATGCTCAATTACTATTTAACAAAGGAGGCAAGAGCATACAATTGAGTCAAGAGAGTCTCTTCAATAAATGGTGTTGGGAAAATTGGACAGGGACATGCAAAAAAAAAAAATGAAACTAGACCTCAAACTTACACCATACACAAGAAAAAACTCAAAATGAATAAAAGACTTAAGTATAAGACATGAAACCATAAAAATCCTAGAGGAAACCAAAGGCAGCAAAGTCTCAGGCATCTCTCATAGTAATATGTTTACCGATTCATCTCCAAGGGCAAAGGAAACTAAGGAGTAAATAAACAAATGAAACTCTATCAAAATAAAAAGCTTCTGCACATCAAAAGAAAGCATCAACAAAATGACGAGAGCTCACTACATGGGAGAACATTTTTGCCAATGATACATCCGATAAGGAGTTAATTTCCAAAATATACAGGGAACTCATACAACTTAACAAAAGAAAGACAATCCAATTAAAAAATGGGCAGAGAACCTAAATAGACACTTCTCCAAAGTGGACACATAGAAGGCCAGGAGACATATGAAAAACTGCTCTAAGTCACTAATCATCTGAGAGATGCAAATCAAAACAACAATGAGATATCACCTCAAACCTGTCAGAATGGCTATCATCAACAAATCAACAAAGGACATGTGTTGGTGAGGATGTGGAGAAAAGGGAACCCTAGTACACTGCTGGTGGGAATGCAGACTGGTGCAGCCACTGTGAAAAACAGTATGGAGTTTCCTCAAAACATTAAAAATGGAACTCCCATTTGACCCAGAGATTTGACCCACTTCCAGGAGTATGTCCTAAGAAGCCTGAAACACCAATTTGAAAGAATGTACTAGTATGCACCCCTAGGTACACAGCAATGCAATTTACAATAGCTGAGGTTTAGAAACAGCCCAAGTGCCCATCAGTAGATGAGTGGATAAAAAAGCTGTGGTACATCTACACAATGGAATACTACAAAACTGTAAAAAAGAAAGAACTTTTACCATTTACGACAGCATAGATGGATCTGGATAGTATTATGAAAAGTGAAATAAGCCAGTCAGAGAAAGATATGTATCACATGATTTCACTCATATGTGGAATCTAATGGACAAAATGATAAATTCAGAGACATAGAAGCATGAAACAGACTGATGAATTTCAGAAGGAAGGCGGGGAAGGGGCAGATGGGAGGGGAATGATTAACCGGGTACTTATATGCATATATGCATAGCCCATGGACAGACAATAGAGTAGTGAAGGCCTGGGAGGGGTAGGCAATAGGAACAAAGCTGTTGGTTCAGGGCACTGGTGGCCAACTCATAACAGGCAGGAGAAAACAAAACAGAAGTACAGAAAATAGGGGGAGCAGGAGTACATGGCAGGCCCAATATTACAGGCAGGAGAAATGAGAAGCAACACCTGTACAAAGTACACCCTCCAAACCCAAAGACTGAAATGCAGCAGAAGTTCACATTATCATCAAATGTACACATGCCTGTTCATCAAGACAGACCACATTATGGGCTGTAAGACAAATCTTTACAGATATTTAAAAATTATATAAAATATTATCTCAATCCACTGAAAAATTATACTAGAAATTAGTAACATAAGGTTATCTTGAAAAATAAAAAATGTTTTTGTACATTAATATGCTTCTAATTAAATCATGGGTCACAAAGCACATCTCACAGAAAATTAAGGTATTTTAAAGTGAATGAAAATAAAAACGGCTCAAAACATAGAAATTTGTGGGATGCAGTTCAAGTAGCACTGCGATAAATTCACAGTTTGAAATGTCTTATATTAGCAAAAAAAATCTCCAACCAGTTACCTAAGCTTCCACTTTAAGAAACTACACAAAGAGCTCCGGATGGATAGCTCAGTGGGTTGGAGTGCCATTCCCTATGCCAAAAGGTTGCAGTTTCAATTCCCATTCAGGACACATATCTAGATTGCAGGTTTAGTCCCTCATCGAAGCATGTAAGGGAGGCAAACAATAAATGTCTGTCTCTCTCATATCACTCTCTCTCTAAAATCAATGAACATATCTTTGGATAAGGATTAAAAAAACTACACAATGAAAAGTTAAATCTAAAGAAAGAAGAAGGAAATAATAAAGGTTAGCAAATACAATGAAACTGAAAACAACAGAGAAAAATCAAACCAAAGCTTATTTCTTTGAAAAGAAATTTTTCACATGATTAAACAAACCAAGAAAAAACAAGGAGACACATCATCAATATCAGCAATAAATACAAGGGGAATGTAACTACAGATACAACAAACATTAAAGATAATAAAAGAATATTGAGAGAAACTCAATGCCCATAAATTTAACAATTTATATGAAAGAACAAATTTCGTAAAAACAAAAAACTTCCAAACTCACTCATGAAGAAAGAAAAGTCCCAAATAGATCTAGTTAAGAAATTGAATATGGGGTAAAAAATAATAATAAAATAAATAAAAATACATAGTTAAAAAAAAAAAAAAAAAACAGTTATAGGACCAGATGGTGTTAACTACTGAATTTTATCAAACATTTAAAGAAGAAATGTCTTCTACATAATCTCTTCATGAAATTACAATATGTGGATTCCCTGAATCATTTTGAGGCCTGTGTAGTCCTGGCTCGGTTGGCTTGTGGTTAGAGTATAGGCCTGCAGACTGAAGGTTCACAGGTTCGATTCCAGTCAAGGGCAAGTATCTCCATTGTAGTTTGGTTCCTGGCCCCAGTCGGGGAATGTGCAAGAGACAACCAATCGATGTCTCTCTCTCTCTCACAAAGGTGTTTCTCTATCTCCATCTTGGGTGAGGATTAGCAAAAAAATAAAGTAGCTACAGGAACCCAACTATATATAAAAATAATTAATCAGGATCAAGTGGGATTCATCTCAAGAATGCAAAGTTGCCAATAGTAAAAAATCAGTCAATGTAATTCATCATATTAACTGGCTAAAATATTAATATTAATATCACACAACCACATAAATTAAGATAAAATATTTCATTAAATTAAAAATTCAACCATTAACCTAATAAAAGGAATCTACAAAAAGCCTATAGCTAACATCATACTTAATAGAGCCTGAATGCTTTAACACTAAGATTGGAAAAAATAAAAAGGTGTTTACTCTCAAAAGCAGAGAAAGGTGTTGAGTAGAAAGTGTTCACTTCTACTATTGTAATGGAAGTTCCATTACCATGCAATACAGCAAGAATAAAAATGAAAGATACAAAGTCTACAAAGAAAAATCACAAATAAATTCTTTTAGAAAACTCCATAAACTTAAGTGTTTTAAGCAAAGTCAAAATACAGAGCTAAGATGCAAAAGCCAATAATATACAAATAATGATCAACTGGAATCTGAACTTAGATATACAAGATAATTTACCATAGTACACACATACACACACACACCCCAAAAAAACAAAAACCAACCCCCAAAACTGGCATCTGTATGCTGAAAACTACTGATGAAAGAAATCCTAAATAAACGGAGAAGTAAATGTTATTTATAGATTAGAATACAATATATTATTAGCATGTTGATTGTCTTTAATTTGATCTATAGATTTAATGCAATCCAAGCTGAAAAAAGCCAGCATGCTTTTTTATAAATATCAAAAAACTCATTTTAAAATTCATATAGAAAGTTGATGAACTCACACTACTCGATTTCAAAAATAAGCTACTGCAGTAACATTAGTAGATGAATAAAAAATAATCAAGACACCACAGAAATATACAATCTTATACAAACCATGTATACAAATATATATGCAAATATGCACTCATCTGTTTTTCTAATTTCATGCAAGTACTATTCAATGACAATTTTTTCAACATACGGTGCTAAAATAACTGAACACCTTTTTCAAAAATTATACCTCATACTTTTTATAAAAATGAACACTAAATGGATCACAAAATGCAAAATGCTGAATTAAAATTTTCTAGAAAAAAAAATCACAGGAATAAATCTGAGTTCCAATGTTTCTAGACAGGACAACACAAGCATGATCCTTACAAAAAATTAAAGAATAGACTTTATCAAAGTCATTGTTTAGTTTTAGCCAGGCTCCTTGGAAATCATGCCAACAGAAGAACGGGGTGAGCGCCAGTACAGCCAAGTGGGGAAAGGAGTCCAGGTAAGACACTAAACCGTTGTTGATACCCCTGGGAAGTGGAGGACAAAGCGGCCACATTAACACTGAGCAGGGGTGAGAGACCTGGCTCCCACAAGCCTTCTGTAATAGTAACCACCCGGTTATTTTCTCAGGTGCCAGTGGCCCTTATTTAAGGACTAGAGGCCCAATGCAGGACATTTGTGCACTGAGGGCGGGGTGGAAGTCCCTCAGCCCGACGTGCGCCCTCTCGCAGTCCGGGACCCCTTAGGGGCTGTTAGCCTCCCTGGGAGCGAGCCTAAGCCAGCAGTCAGACATCCCCCAAGGGGTCCTTAGCGCTGCTGCCACCACCACTGCGCTCACCAGCTGTGAGCCCAGCTCCTGCACTGAGCATCTGCCCCTGGTGGTCAATGCATGCATAGCAACTGGACATTCCGCCATTTAGTTGATTTGCATACTACCCTTTTATTATATAGGACTAGAGGCCCGGTGCACAAAAATTTGTGCACTCGGGGGGGAGGGGGGTCCCTCAGCCCAGCCTGTGCCCTCTCGCAGTCTGGGACCCCTCGGGAGATAATGACCTGCTGGCTTAGGCCTGCTCCCAGGTGGCAGAGGGCAGGCCCAATCCCTAGGTGCAGCCCCTGGTCGGGCTCAGAGCAGGGCCGATTGGGGAGTTGGGGCGCCGCCCCGTCATGCACAGAGCAGGGCAGATTGGGAGGTTGTGATGCCACCCTCAGTCACGCTCAGGGTAGGGCCAATTGGGGGGTTGGGGCTCCGTACCCTGTCATACTCAAGGCAGGGTCGATGGGGAGGTTGCAGCGCCACCCCCTGTCACGCACAGAGCAGGGCCCATCAGGGGGTTGGGGCACCGCCACTCTCACACTCAGGGCAGGGCCGATGGGGAGGTTATGGCTCTACCCCATCACACACAGAGCAGGGCCCGTGGGGGGGGGGGTTTGAGGAGCTCCCCCCTTTCAGGCACAGAGCAGGGCTGCTCAGGGGGCTGGGGCCCCGCCCCCTGTCACACACAGAGCCAAAGGGCGATCAGGGGGTTTGGGCGCTGCCCCCTGTCACGCTGATCCCGGTGCCGGAAGGCATATTACCCTTTTACTATATAGGGTACAGGCCTGGTGCATGGGTGGGGCCGGCTGGTTTGCCCTGAAGAGTGTCCTGGATCAGGGTGGGGGTCCCCACTGGGGTACCTGGCCAGTCTGGGTGAGGGGCTGAGGGCTGTTTTCAGGCTGGGAGTGACTGAAGTTCCCAACCGCTCCTTTTTTTCTTTTTTTATTCTGGGCCAGCTTTAACTTGAGGCTTGGCTCCAGCTCTTAGGCCTCCGCAACTGAAAGTAGGTTTCTGGCCTTTGCTTACAATGTTGTGAATCTGCTGGCTGAAGTCTGGCGGTATTTGTTACAATGTTTCTTAAACTGCCCGCTCAGAGGCCTGCAGCCACAAGCGGGGAATGTTGGTTTCCTCCAACGATCCTCCGTCACTGAGGCAAGCAAGCCTCATGTTAGTTTCAAGCTGCCTGGCTGCCAGCCGCCATCTTGGCTGACAGTTAATTTGCATATCTCGCTGATTAGCCAGTGAAAAGGGTAGCGGTCGTATGCCAATTACCATGTTTCTCTTTTATTAATGTGGATTGCATCCCCCCTTCCCAATTCACAGTTGGAAGCCTTAACTCCCAATCCTATATAATAAAAGGGCTCCTGGACTGTAAGAGGGCGCAGGCCAGGATGAGGGACTCCCCACCCCACACACCAAGTGCATGAATTTCGTGCACTGGGCCTCCAGTGTAACTATATTTAGAGATAAAACCTTTAGAGAGGTAATTAAGATTAAATGAAGTCATAAAGGTGTGGCCCTAATTCTATAGAACTGGTGTCCTAACAAAAACAAAGAGCCATCAGAGCTCTTTCTCCCCAGGGGTGCAGAGGAAAAGCCATGTGAGGATACATTGAGAAGGTGCTCACCTGCAAGCCAGGAAGAGAGGCCTCACCAGAAATCTACCCTGCTGGCACCATGATGTTAGACTTTCAGCCTCCAGAACTGGGAGAAATATGTTTCTATTATTTAAACCACCCAGGCTATGGTATTTTGTTATGCCAGCCCAGATGACTAATATAAAAATGCAAATCAAAACCTCCGTGAGATAGCATTTCACATTCACTAGGGTTGCTACAATCAAAAGTCAGGTAATAAGGGCTGGTGAAGATATGGGGGACCCAGAACCCTCAGCTGCTGTCATTAGGAATGTAAAATGGTACAGCCACTTTGGAAAACAGTCTGGCAGTTCCACAGAGTTACCATATAACCCAGCAATTCCACTCCTATCTAGAAACGCGAGATAAATAAAAGCATATGTCCAAGCAAACCTTGTAAATGATGATTATATTAGCATTACTCAATAATAGCCAAAAGACAGCATTTTAATGTCCACTGACTGATGAATGAGCAAACAAATGTGGTATATCCAATGAAATTTATTCTTACCATAAAAAGAATGAAATTTTAAGATATGCTATATGAGCCTTGTAATGCAAAGTGAAAGAAACCAATCACAAAAGAACACATAATGTGTAATTCCATTTATATGAAATATCCAGAATAGCCACATCCATAGAGAAAGAAGATTAGTGGTTGCTAGCACTGGCAGGCCAGAGGATAGGTAGGTAATAGCTAAATGGCATGGGGTTTCTCTCAGAGGTGAAGAAAACTGACTGGTGGTTGCATATATCTACGAATATAATAAAAGCCATTGAATTAACTGAACACTTTGAATGGATCAATTATGTGATATGCTAATTATATGTCAATGAAGCTATTTAAAAGCAAAAACAACTTTCTAAAGTGTTTCCCTTAAAGGGCTAACAACCCCAAGAGTTTCTTTTTGTCTGTGCTCACCTGGGTACGTCTGGCTTAGGAATTCTTCCTCTAAGGACCAGGGCTCTTCACCTTGCTCCAACTTTAAGATCACTGGGGGTTTGGTAATGCAATACCCTGTGAACAGAACAATTGAGAGTATATACAGAGCAGATCCATCTTTTTAGTTTCTGAAAATAAAAGTACCTATTTGCAGGTTTTAATGGGAAAATAATGACACAAACATTGTTTCTATTTCTCTAAAGGTTTCAGTTACTTAGGCCTCTTAATCAAAAACCTAAAGATTAATCCCTATAAAGGATCCATGTGTTTTGAAAATTTAAAAAGAGGAAATTTCTTCTAGAGGCAGTCGCAGCGGAAGGGCTGCTCACCCATGGAGACGAGGTGGCTGTAGTTCTCCAGCATCACCTCTCTGTACAGGGTCCTCTGCCCAAGACCCAGGCACTGCCACTCAGCCCTGGTGAGCTCCACAGCCACGTCTTCGAATGACACTGATCCCTGTAATAACATTTCGTTCAAAAGTTCAGAATTACGTGACAAAGAAAATACCTTTGAGAACTATTATTTTCCTATTTACTCTCAAGGCTCAAAAACAGTTATCAAGGATGTCTAATTTTAACTTAATTTGTTTTTAACTATGGAGTTGTTCAATTAGCTTCTAATGTACCATTATTCATTTACATTTATGATTTACAGTTTTGCTTTGTTTTTGTTAATCTTCACCCAAGGATATTTTTCCACTGATTTTTTAGAGTGGAATGGAGGGAGGGAAGGGAGAGAGAGAGGAAGAAAGAGAGGGAGAGAAAGAGAAATACTGATGTGGGAGAAACACATCGATTTGCTGCTCTGCCATGCACCCCGACTAGGGCTGGGGATGGAACCTACAACTCAGTTATGTGCTCTTAACCAGGAATTGACCCATGACCCTATGGTGCACAGGCCAACACTAACCACTAAGCCAAACAAACCAGGCCAAATTACAGTTTTTTTAAACAAAACAAATCCAGTGTAAAGAGACCTCCTACAGCTCTTCTACATCCCAAGTGATTATCCTGGGTATTCTAGAGAATTCTAGGATGTTCAATCCCTCCTTGGACATCACTACCATACATAATGGGAGTCAAGAAAGAGATGCATGTAAGATGTGGAGATATCATACATGATTGAGCTCATAAATAAATAAATGTATCTATATATATAAAAGGCTAATATGCTAAGTGTCCTTCCTTCCATCTGACCGGTCGCTATGATGCTCACAACCACCAGGGGGAAGACTCTCAACACAGGAGCCTCAGAGCTGAAGGGACTTGGCAGTGGTGGCTCTCGGATGACGCACCCGAAACCAGAGAGGAGGGAGCCCAATTCCTTGTGGGGCCCGATTCCACCTTCAGCTGTGGGTTATGTTGTTACTGGGGTACTGTCTTCCCCCAATCTGGTTTACTGCATACTTGCATTTGCATTCCACACCTTGTATGACAGCAACTTTGCAGAGTGCCCTCTCACACTCCAGGAACCCTCAGGGGATGTTGGAGAGCTGGTTTCAGCCCGATCCCCACAGGCCTGGCCAGGCCAAGAGACCCTAACCTGCCAGAGGGACGCTGCTCACTCTGCAGACGCTTTCCTTTCCATGTGCATGAATCCGTGCACCGGGTCACTAGTAAAGATATATAAATCTAGAACTATGAAGAGCAAAGAACCTACCAAGGAGGTGGAATCACAGAGACCAGTATGAGAGAACACAATCTACACTGAAGTAACAGCAACTACTATAAGGATAGGGAAGTAGTCACAGAGCAGAAGCAGAAACCAATGTGATAACTACTTTCTTATGTAGCTACCCTTGTGTGGCTCTAGCAACGAGCTGCTCCTTCAATGCTGGTGCCAAATACTGACTTGAGACACAAAAGGAAAAATGTGCTATAAGTCTAATGTGACAGATCCGTTCATGTTGCTACTGAAGAGTCTATGGAATGTAAAGCTGGAACTGTCCCTTAAACTAGTATACGCATGATTTTAGAGCACAGAAAGGAGGTCTAGGATGGAGACAACATTAAGGAGTTACTAGCAATTTAGATGGTAACTGAGTCATCAGAAGGAACCAGACAGCAACTTGAGCATGAAGGAAATGAGCAAAGCAAAAAAGCTGGGCTGAAAAAAGTACCAAAAACATTTGAGAAATATTAAGAGGCTAGCAGAGCCCTGGCAGGTATTGCTCAGAGGTTAGAGCGTTGGCCTGAGCACCAAAGGGTCTTGAATTTAATTCCTGGTTAAGGACACGTACCTGGGTTGCAGGTTTGATCCCTAGGTCCAGTCCGGGGTCTGGTTGTGCTTCGTGTGGGAGGCAACCACTAACCAATGTGTCTCACATTGATGATTTTCTCTCTACCTCTATCTCTGTCTCTCCCTCCCTCTTTTCCCCTCTCCCTCCGTTTTTCCTTTCCACTCTCACTAATAATTAATGGAAAATATATCCTCAGGTGAGGATTAACAAATAATCTATACTAATAATAGAGGAATACGCAAATTGTCTAGGATGCCATCACAGTGACAGTAATGTTCCGCAGGCTGCGTGGGGCAACAAGGCTGACAGGGGGGTTAGTGAGGGATGACCAAACAACTAAACAGCAGGCTGCGTGGGGCAACCAGGCCAGGAGGGGGGCATTTTGGGGAGACCAGGCCGGAGGGGAGGTGGGGGGGATGAGTTGTGGGTGACCAGGCCAGCAGGGGGGTGTGGTTGGTGTTGACCAGGCAAGCAGGGGGGACAGTTAGGGGAGATCAGGCAGGCAGGCAGGTGGGCAGTTAGGAGCCAGCAGTCCCAGATTGTAAGAGGGATGTCCCAGATTGGAGAGGGTGCAGGCTGGGCTGAGAGGACCCCCCCATCCCTGCCCCCGTGCATGAATTTTGTGCACTGGGCCTCTAGTAATAGATAAAGTCACTAACAGAAAAAGTATAGGCCACAAAGCCAGAGAACTTTTTGAAAAGTAGTAATAGATGCATGAGAGAGCAGAGTTTTGGAAAACAAAAAAAAGGGAAAGTTTCCACAAATCTTCAAAGGGGCTGGTGGTGAGAAGCAGAGAGTTGCTGTCCAAGGAGCATGTTTCACTTGTGAAAAACATTATGTTCTAGAGATCTGCTGTACAACACTGTGCCTCTACTTAACACTGAATTGTACACAGAGAAATTTGTTGAAAGTGGATCTTGTCACAATTAAAAAATAGAAAGAATGGGAAGGAGATTAAGAGATAAGAGGACAGACACAATCCAATTACATGTTCATTCATGTCTTCATTACTGAGTGAATACCTGCTCTGTGTGAAGCTCAGAACTAGTAGCTGGGAACTAAAACAAATGAAAACAAGAACAGGAACACTTATCATTAAATGTATTGTAATCTAAACAAATGAAGAAAATTTAACTATATTTTCCAAAACTAAAATATTAGTGAGAAAAATGGAATTTTTTCATTTTAGCTAATCTTTAATATCTGGCTTAATAAACATCAGCTGGATTTTTTTTTTTTAATTAAGCTAACAAGTGGTTTAGGTAAAAATGTTGAAGCAGGCATCCCAGAAAATTATCTCCTCCACTAAAGCAATGAAAAAACTAGCAAAAATTATAGAAGTTAGCAAAGGCAATCTGTGGAAATATACAAGAAAAACGGCTGACTCACAGTAAGAACAATATTGTGTCCTTTTAATTTAACCCTCTCTCTCCAACTCAGCAGTAGTTTGAGAACCAACAGTCTGCAACCAGCAGCCTGGCAACTACAGGAGGATTGGAGTTCCATCAAATCAAAACCTCATTCCCAGAAAACTGTCATCACTTGGTCTATTTGGAGGTTCCCTGAAAGACCCGGCTTACAAGGATGTCTTTATCTGAGCTAACTTGGAGCTTACATAGTGGGAATAGACTATCTTCAGACGCATCTGTCAAAACACTGAAAGGCAAAAAAACACTGAAAGACATTTGTTTAACTCAGTGGCTACCTGAGGTGGTAATAACAGCAGGGGCAAACAATGACCAATCGAGAAGCTTAAAAGGAAATGCTGGGGAATGAAAGGTCAATGAAGATTCTGTAAAGCTCCTATATATTCCTGGGGATCTGGAAGGTCACTTACATGCAATTCATATTTATGCAGAGTAATTTTGAGGATATTCAGTTGATTCATCAGAAAAATGTCTTAGTTCAACCCCTGTGTTTGAGTTTCTGAAAATTAGTATTGACTGAGTTTACATATAGCATTAAGTCTTCTACTTTTATTAAAGAACAATTAGAGACAATATTCTATATTATGTCAGGGTTATGTTACTGGAAAGTTGTTACTGACATTCTGACACAGATACCAGAACCCCCAGAAATAAATTTCTGCATATATCCACATGCCAACTTTGTTCTGCTGTTCATCTGTATTTCTATATCTTCTCTGAATGCATCTGATCCATTTCAATTTCTATTTTTCCATGTTAACATAGAGACACTTAAACCCTTATAAAATCCACTGTAAAATAAATAGGTTATTAAAAACTGAACTCACCTGAGCTTTGTTCATTTTCTGCTGCTCCTGCACGAAGGTAAAAAACTGTGAAGGTCTAGCTGGGGAGAAGGGAAGAGAAATGGGGTCATGAGAAACCTGGTCTGCCTTACAATTCCTATATTCATCTGCCTAAAAAATCTCCTAACACCAGGTGGAGAAAAGGCTTCCCTATGGCAGAATGTCCCTTTGACGTTTTTTTTATTATTGATTTCAGAGAGGAAGGAAGAGGGAGAGACAGAAACATCAATGATGAGAATCGCTGCCTCCTTCATTACCCCACTGGAGATTGAGCCCACAACCCGGGCATATGCCTCGACCAGGAATCGAACGGTGGCCTCCTAATTCATAGGTTGATGCTCAACCACTGAGCTACACCAGCTGGGCCCCTCTGACAGTCTTGAGGAGGAACATCAGAAACCACACAGAGGTAGCACCTACTGAATATCTGCCTCTCTGAGATGATCACGTGGGCTTAATCTTGCATTTTCACTAACTAAACTGCTTTTTGTCAATGAATTAACAATTTATGCTCCCTCCTAATTAAAACAAAAAACATTTTTTAAAGTAAATAAAACAGAGGATTCCTTAAATAAATTCAGGTACACCAGAGGTGAAACGCCCTACTTTCATTAAAACTAATGTCAAAAAACTACTCTTGCTGGATTATTAATCAAGTTCTTGTTGTCTTTACAGCTTTAGTTTCCCCAGAAAACTCTAAAATATGGTGGGACATTTTATGTAAGAAATACATTCTTAAACATTTTGCTCTAAATTGGTTACAGTTTCTACAAAGATCTTTTGAGATGTTTATAGCACTTTTCTGTGTGAGTAAACAGCCCCGCTTGGGCTACCCGCTGCTGGAAGGGCTCACCGGCCGCTTGCAAAGGCTTATGGGCTGCTCACAAGGCTCACTGACGGGGCTGTGATTGAGTAATTACACTGAGAAGGCTCTGGGAGCCGCCAGGTGCCTGGTCTCAGGGTGTTCGCAGAACCAGCTGGGCCAGAGCCTCCACTCCTGCTTCTAGTGGAGCAAATCAGCACCTGCTCCTTTCTAGAAACTTCTGCCTCTGCTCTGAAGCTCTGGTGAAGGGCCTGTCAGAATGGCTCTTCTTCCAAGTGGCAGCTGTTTCTGGGGTCCCTCCTTCCTGGCGTGAAAGAGTTACTTTGCTCCAGAGGAACTGGGACCTGAGCCTGAGAAACAAATGCACTTTATTTGAAACCTCCCGCCGACATTCTAAGCCTGACCCTTTTGGAATTCACTAAGAATGTACCACCCAGGACTGGAGCCAGCAGCTCCTGCACCTGAAATGTGGCTGCTCCGCAGGACGGTCATATTTTGACTGTATTGAATTAAATCAGTATTGAATTCATTCACCACCTTTCTTTTCACTGTGACTACTGAAATTTTTTAAATGATATTTTTATATTATATTTGCATTATCTTTCTATTGGCCAGCACTGCATGTGAGGGCCAGACTGGACCTTTGAGGACGGAGGCAGCCTGGACAGTGCAGGAAGCTGCAAAAGCCTCAGTCTGACCCGGGTTTCTGGAGAAAACCCACGAACCCCAGGGATATTTACCAAATGGTGAGGTCCTGTCCCCCTTCACTTTACAATCACGTCTCCGGGAATTTGGGGACAGGCTACTCTTCTATGTGCTGCAAAGGTTGCAACTTCGGTTTGGGGCGGGTTCTCAGGAAGCAGAGATAGGGGGTAACATCTGCATTTGCATCCTACCGCTCTCCGCGGCCAGCTCTTGCCCTGGGGTATATCATTCCGCCCCCAGGAAAGTCCTCTCGCTTCTTAAAATGGCACGTCCATACCGACAAGTAGGCTTGTTGTCAGCGCTAAATGAAACAAAACAAGGGAACAAAGTGTCTCGGTAGCCATTTACACAGTGATCACACGGCATTTGGCAAAGTAATTTGCAGATGACACCTTATTTCGTTCTCAGAATATCTGCATAAACTATGAGTAGCCCCTTGTGCACTGTGAGCGTCCAGAGGGTGCAGTCCCCCGCTCGCCGCACAGGGCGTGTCCTCCCAGGAGGACTCGGTCCCACCTGCGCTGCGGGAGCCGACGAGGGGGACCCGCACGTACACGGGCTTGGGGCAGGGAGGGCCCGCCTGCGGAACCCCGGGACTGCCGGCTCCCGCGCCCCACACTTGAGTTACCTGACCGCGGGGGCTCGGGCTCTCACTCAGGTGCGCAGGCTGTGCTTCCGCACAGACCCCGGAAGGCGGCAGGGAAGAGGCGGGACTGCTGGGCACCAGCGCAGAGTGCCTGCTGAAGACCCTTTCCCAGAGGCCTGTTCGGTAGGCCCACACATTCAAGACTACATTTCCCATGAACCCTTGAGACCGAAGGAAGTAATTTTTAAAGCATTTCCGCTTCAGTAGCCCGTTGGACCTGACCCCTGGAGACTTCCTGAATCCACTGAGATTTGGGTTTAGACTTTAGGACCTAACAACACGTTGCAGAGCGTGGTACTTGGTGGGATCCGGGTTGGAAAGACAAGAGCTGCAAGAGACACCAATTGAGGAAACACAAATATGAACCAGATATTAGAAATATTAAGGAAAATTACCATTACCTTGGTTAGTGTGATAAGACAAGGGTGGACAAAAGTTACTACTAATAATAATACAATAAGTAATAATACAAGAATAGCTGTTGTAATGTACCCCTCGAGTAACACAGGACGCAAGATCAAATCAATGAGTCATTTAATCAATAAAGCTGGCGACTGGGAGGGAGAAGCGGCTCCAAATCTCACAGTGCCCCCTTGGCCGAAACATCATACTTATAGAGGCAAATATCACAAAGGTATTGATTACATCTCGAGGTTTGGAATGAGGAACCTGGTTTGCAAAAGCAGTTTGTTACAGAAGCTAGATTGAGCAAGTTAGTTATCTACAAAGATTATAGTTTCAGGTCTTGGGACCACTGAGTCAACGGAAACATTTTCTAAAGCCACTGAAGCAATTTAAAGTAATTGTACTGTCCTGGTCTCCAGGTGCAGAGGAATGTGTTTTGAAAGACCAGTAAAACCACAATCAATGGGGTATTCAATCGAATGAGATGATTTATATAAGTTCAGAAAATCAAAATAACTTCTCTAATATTTTAGCAAGCAAATAATTACAGAAGAACAGCAGGGTTAAAATATGAAACAGCAATTGCTACCTGAGATGATTGCTACCATGCTTCATAAACTTTCATGTACTCACTACTGTGAACTTATTTTTGCCTACCCTTGAATTTGGACTATGCAGGAAAATGCTGTACTTTAAACATACTTACTGATATAGTTACAATTTAAAAATAATATATTTATAATTTACTTTTTAAAAATTAAGCAAAACAGAGAAAGCAAATATGTTAAAAGATTAAGAATCATTAAATCTGTGCAGTATGTGTACATGATATTCATTTTACTATTTCTGCTATTCAGAGTGTTTAAATTTCTTTTTAATAAACAGTAAAAGACATGGGGGTGGTGTGAGATGGAAAGAGATTAGGTACACTACTAATCTAGAAGTATACCTTTTAAAATCAAGCTGCCAAGGAAGTAAAAGTAAACACAAGAATCCCTTTCACAGCTGTGAAATAGAACAAACCTAGAAAATTGAGCCAGCATTAACCTATTAAAAAGTAACATCTGTGACCAGCAGGATTCAGGTGGGGGAGGAGGCAATAATCTAGCTGTTCAAATTACATAAATAATACATGAAAACCATACAACCCCCAATAAGAAAATGATTATTGCATGAATTTTGCATTTCTGTGAAGTACATCTTCCTTGAAACTTAATGTGTGCACACATCAAATTAGAGACATGGATACAATAACATAATTTTCTCCTATTAGATTTTTTTAGAGCAATTTTAGGTTTACAGAGTCATTCAGCAGAATGCAAAAAGAGTTTTCATATACTCCATCTCACTAGTTAGAGTGCACTATTGTAAGAGTCCTGACTATATTTTCAATGACCTCCTTGGGCATCACAGACAGGCAAGGGCTATCTCATGCCTTTATTATGGTATGCCTGTTTTCAAACTGTTGATGGTAGACCAAAAATAAATAAATAAAATACATAGCATACCTTTACACTTTCTCTCTCTCTCTCTCTCTCTCTCTCTCTCTCTCTCTCTCTCTCCCTACACACACACACACACACACACACACACACACACACACACTCGCGCTCTCTCTGATGTATTTGCGTCTTGGATGTTATTGTCCTATTCGTGGATGGAGTCTCCTTGCAGGGTGTCTGATTATGTAGCTCACTTCCTACCACATCATGCCAATCATTGTGGAGGTGCTGACTGAACAACCATCAAAAACCTATATGACAAGACATGACACAGAAGGAACAGAACACGAATATACACAAGACACCTATAACCCTAACAAAAGTGACCACCAGAGAAACGAGAAAAGAGAGCAAGAATGATAGTGAGAAAAGAAAAAGAAAGAAAGAGAGAAGGAATATGGGGAGAAAAGGAGAACAGAGAAGAGAGCCGATAGGCCTAAATTTAGGAAGTGGAAAAGTTACAAAAAATTAGAAGAAGAAAAGAGAAAAAAATAAAAAATAAATTGAAGGGTGAAGAAAATGATAAGAGAAGGGGAAATGGAGTAGGAGCAGGGAAGAGGAAATTAGAAATATGAATAAACCAACACATCAAAAAAAAGCAGATAAAGAAGATCAATTTTTTAAAGGGGGAAAGAAAGAAAAGAGAAAACCTAAAATGTAGGGAAAAGGTACAAAAAAAGGGAAAATTATTAAAAATATTTAAATAAAAATAAAAAATTGAAGTGTCATTCGCTTCAGCCAAGTATAATTGCCCCATAGGAGCAGGTTTAGGACCATACTCTTCTGTTCTGTCTGCCAATTCTGGACTTCCTGTTAGGTACTTAGGTGCTGACCACTGTCAGGTGCTGTCTTTTGGCTTTTGGCGCCCTGTTTGACTCTCCAAGCAATCTAAAGGTTAGGTCTAATGGTTAGGTCCTCCGGTTAGGTGTGTCTCCGCAGGCCTTAGGGGTATGCAGGCGGGGCCAATCTGCCCTCTTTTCCTGTCTGCCAGCTGTCGATCTTAATCACTCAAGCATCAGTTTCTGACAGGTGTTGGTGCTGTTTCACTTTCAGGGAATAAGATCTTTCTTTTTCTTGGAACACTTTCCTTTCTCATCTGCTTGCTGACCTCATCCATCTCATGGCTTTAATGGCATCTATACTGTCATGATTCCGCATTTACTTATCCATCCCAAACCTTTGCACACAGTCCCGATTCCCACCCAGCTGCCAGCATGACATCTCCATATGGGTGCCTAATGTGCCCAAACCAACCAGACTTCCCCTGAACCTGCTCTCACTTGGTCTCCCTCTTCTCCATGACAGCAACTCCATCCTGACAGGTGTTCAGGCCCCAGCTTTGTGGTCTTTCTTGACTTCTCCCCTCTCTCCACCCCTCCTTTTCCCCAGCAGCAAAGCCTCTATATCCAGCTTCAGAAAGTGCCCTCATCTGACCCCTTGAGTGCCTCCCCTTACTCTGCTCAGAGTCGCCATCACCACTTGACAGGATGACTGTAGCTTCTGCTAACCATGCCCTGCTCTTTCCCTCACCCCTGCACTTTCTCTCCACCCGGTACCAGATGACCCAGAGGAGTCACTCTGCAGCTCGAAGCTGCAATAGCATTCTACTCATCAGAGTTCAAGCCACAGTGTGTGCATCCCCTGGGACTCTTAAATGATCTGGCCCTTGGTCACCTGTCTGATCTAACTACAATGCAGACCCCTCACTCTCTCCGCTCCACCTCACAGGTCTTCATGTGCTTCTCAAATGTGGCAAGATGCTCCTGCCCCAGGACTTAACATTTTCCGTTTCTTTACCTTGAATCCCTGCCCATGACACACACATGGTGGTCTCCCTCCTTCCCCCGAGGTCTCTGCTCAAATGTCTCCCTGTCGATGAGATCTCCCAGATCCCTTGCAGTGATCACTAACCAGGAACAGTGATGACTTCCTCACATGTCACCTCCCCTACTACCTTTCTGCCCCATTTCTCTTTACAGCTCCCATGACCATTTGGTGTGCCAAGTTTCATCCTTGTTTGTATATCGTTTGTCCTTCCTCACTGTAAACTTCATGAGAGCAGGGATTGGCTTTATCACTTTGTCAATACTTTATCTCCAATACCATAGGCACACAATAAATGCATCACATGTTGGAAGAATGAACAAATTACATGAGAGTAAAGAAACTCTGTTATAATTTACTGTAATGAGTCTGTAGCTTCATCTAAATCTGCATGGGAACCTATCTACATGTCAGCTACTTAATTTTCGAATGTGTCATTAATTTTCTATGAGAGTATCCTGGAAACATCTGTATATTTAGAAATTGTTAATAGTAAATAGTAGAGAACACACTAAAAGTAGATTAAGTATTGAAATATACCTTCCAGACACACAAACTTACCTCAGAAAGAGTATAGCAGACTGAATTTGAAACCATCTAACTTGTTAGGGATTGCTTGTGAATTCAGAGCACATATGTCCAAAGCAACACTGCTCATACCTCAGGTTAGGGCAATCTGCAGGAAGCAGGAGCCTTGGATTGTAATGTTCTTGAAGGTCTACAGATCTGGGGAAAGAGACTACTTATTGAGGAATGCTATAGAACGGCGTAGGCCCCTAAAAACGCAGAGATGATACTCTTACAAACTCAAGACATTTAAAAGCCGCCATGTATATAGGCTTTAGAGGTAAAACTCACTTATTTGCTTGTCACCTCTACTCTCAGTATTTCCCTTCACCACCACTCACTTCAGAAAACAGATGTGTAGATTTCCCACACACTAACCAATTCTGTGACACCAGCTCGGAGTCCCACCATTGAGCTCAATTCTGACACTCTCGACTGCAGATAGCATCAGACTCCACAAGCCCAGTCCCACAAGATGTCCCGTCACCCACCTCAGGTGCCAATCACAGTCCCAAGTTGTTACTTGTGCTTCAGACTATAGGGCTATAAATTGGAGGTTCTTACAAAACCCTCTTAGGTTTAATTAATTTGCTAGAGCAGCTCATAGACCTGAGGAAAACAGTTTACTTTCTAGGTTATTCCATCTTACAAAAGAAGAAATTCTGCCATTTTGACAACATGGATGAACCTGGAGAGCATTATGCTAAGTGAAAAAGCCAGGTAGAGAAAGAACAATAGTGCATGGTATAACTTATATATGGAATCTCTAAAAAAAATGTTGAATTCATAGAAGCATAGAGTAAAATGGTGGTTACCAAGAGCTGGTGG